ACACACACACACGCGCACACAAGCGCACACACATAATGGCCGTCGCCGGAGGGATGATAGCTAACAAGCCATATTACATAGTAACTTGTGCTGGAATTTCACTATGGAACAGCGTGGCAGGCTGATGCTTTGGATTCTTTTGGCTGCTTCCATGTTCTCTGCTTTTACCGGCCAAATCACGATTTCCAGAATCTGTCAAATATTGAGATATGAATGATTAAAAAAAGAGGCCTGTTGTCATCCCGCGCCAAACAAATTAATATGCCGATATTTCACTACCTACACTCCCCCTGGCGCCCAGGAATGCACCTGTACCAGTTGTTAGTGTAATTATAGTAAATTCCCAAGAGAATCACCGGAGGGGTAGCTATCCCTGCTACAAATACAGGGGCACAGAACTTGACCAACTTGAGAGCCCCTTGCATAGTGACATGATGCCCGTGGAGTACTGTAAATTGACACCAAGGTGGCAGGAAAATGCTAAATTTAGTTGTTAGTTGACAACTGAAAAAGTTGCAACTGTCATCTCAGCTGTCATGGTGGCTGTCAAGTGTCATGCTCTAGTTCCCTCCGCATGGACGTCCAGTTCTCGTTCCCAGCTGTTGTGGCAGGCGTTCTACATCGGACTGCTGAACAGGACAGTTGCGTGGAGTAGGCTCCGGCGGATAATGCTAGCATTATATCTAGCATATTTAGCACTTTCTGGAAACTAGCATTGCACTAGCATAATTAGCAGGTTTTGCAGAAAACTAGCATTATTCTTGCGAAAACTAGCATATTGTTGCAAAACATGGGATTTTTAACTGTGTTGGCATCCGAAAACACTGGTTCACTTCAAATCTTCAATCAATGATTATGTATACCAATTTACTACTTGAACTTACTTGTAGTAGATCTATGACTCTGGCTGGGAGTCTGGGCACAAGCGTTGGGGAAAAAATTGTGATGGGTGTACATGAGAAGGCGGTGAGAATGGGAGCGTTTTGTTCCCACCAACGTTTGCGGCTTATTATTCTTTGTTAGCTGATGAAGAACACACGTCATGGCTATGTCCGAGCAAGCAGCCAGAGATATTGTGTATCTAGTAAGCAGTAGCGATGATCACTTTGATTCCGAGTTTGACGATGAAGACGCCTCAGAATCAGAGTCCGAAGAGGCCGAGGTCAGGACAGCGTGTGAACGTCTTCCCGGACCAGCCAGAGTAGCGATTTCCCAAACACGATCTTTCCAGAGAAGTGGGAAAGGGTCCGTCGCTAAGCGTGGGCGAATTGCCGGTGGAATTTCCACATTGACACCTCGTGGCAGCGTCCACCATCGCGTGCAGCAATTTCCAGGGGAATATTTGACCGTGTCCAGTGGGAAGATTTACTGCAGTGCTTGCAGCCAGACAGTTCAACCGAAGAGAGTGACAGCATTGTGAAATCACACATTTCGAGCGAAATCACAAGACAGCCAAAGAGCGAAAGTCACGAGCCCAGCTACACCAGCAAGCGCTAACAGCTTCGTGGGAGAAGTACACTACACTACAGACCATAAGAAGGAGCTGGCAGGAACAGGGCTATCTGGTGCTGTAGCCAATGATGTCCTCATTCGAAGAGCAAACGTTGTAGAGTCTTTCCTCAAAGCAGGTGTGCCTCTGAGTAAGATAGACCACCTTCGTTCGTTGCTTGAAAGCAACTACTGTCGCATGACGTACAGCACTCACATGGCACATTTGGTGCCATTCCTGTTGCAGAAAGAGCAGTCTACCATCAAGAAGGAGATTGCATCTGCAGCTCATCTCACCGTTATTTTCGATGGTACTTCACGCCTTGGTGAGGCACTTGTTGTTTTCCTCCGCTACGTCGATGGCGATTTCAACATACACCAACGCCTTGTACGTTTCTCTGTACTGTCCAAAAGCCTAGCTGGTACCGAACTAGCTCGAGAGCTCATCCCAGTTTTGTCAACACAGCTGCAAGTTCCAAGCCACACAGTTCTTGCCTTGGTCCGATACTGTGCAGCTGTTAATGGTGTTGCTGTTAGGGTGGTAACAGATCTTTTTGACCTCATATAAAGTGGCATTAAATTAAGCATAACGAGCATAATGAGCATTAAAACTAGCATATTGTGCCACTTTTACTAGCAGTGCTAGTAGCATAATTGCCGAAAATAACTAGCATTATCCGCCGGGGCCTAGCGTGGAGCCGTTCAGGCTGCGTCATAATGATTTAAATGTACAATGACTAGTCTAACAATGACTGTAGTCAGTGCCTGCTTGAGTCAAGAGCTCGTGATCGGGCACGAAGCCACGGAAGGTAACATGGATGCAGCGAACGTGATCCGCTATGAAGTAACATGTAACAGTAGTTCGTTTCAGCCGTAGACCACATTTTCGGGTGGTTCAGATCTGCTCACCTTCCACTGGTGTAGAACGTGCAGCTGCATCTCAGTTCGACTGAGTTTTCTGCCTAGATTCGTATGGAAAGCGAGGACTGGGGAGGTTACTACCTTGAGGAAGCCTGGCTGGTGGATTCATCGGATTTCATGCTACGGGTTTATAATTCCGACATTGGCTGCGAAAAAAACAACATCTCATGAAATCTAGAAAGAGTTTGCTGGCAACTGTCCTGTTTGTTTGCAAATACAAGTACATACATGATACAATCCAAAACTGGTAAACCAGTATTTTTCATGCTGTCAATAGAGAGGTTGCGCACAACGAAAATTCGTTAGATTTCGATCGTCCGGGTTCGAGTAACGAAAGTTGCTCCGAAGATCCGTCCAAACGTGACCGAAACAGAGCAGATCTACGAAAATATTTTTCGTCACCTGGAGTACTAAAATATTGATATTTTACAACTCCTTGTCTTGACTCTTCGTACCCGCGCGGCCGCCGCGTCGACCCACTACGAAAACGTTCACGCGTTGTGCGCAACCTCACGGTTGACGAATATTCGTTAGCTTTTTTCGTTAAAAATATTCGTTACGGCGCTACGAATTTTCGTTGTGCGCAACCTCTCTATCCTAACAATTTTAAAAGTACATACATGTAGTGTACATGTATGTGAATGCGACCCCTATGATAGCTACTTCCTCCGGAACAAACAAAACCAGGTGACTATTTGTAGCCGCATATTCTAACTTAGGTGTTACTGTGATCAAAAAAGCTGGGTTCATAGGAACACCAGCAGTTCGAGATAGTGAGTGTACATGTACATGCTTGCAGGATGTACAGTGTAAGGGTCTACATTGGAGTTTATTTTTTATTCTTTATTATTCAAAATATTCTTTATTTCCACGATGGCCCATGGCCAATAAGGAAGATAATATGATTCAAATCAGTGCAGAATCATATCAAATCAGTCTAGCAAGTAAGGAAACCAACACATTGCAGGGGGATGGGGTCACGATGGGGTACAGTGTGAGCTACTACAGGAGCATATGGATGATAGAATGAGGCTAGACGCCATTGATTTAAACGCATGCTTGCTATTTGTTTCACGCAGGTCGGGGGGGGGGGGGTAGCTGGTTGAAATTGTGAAGGGACAGGTTGATGGGTGAGTTGGTGTGTCGGTATGTGTGTGATGTTCTCAATGTGTATGTTCTCATGTGTCGTAGTGCATATGGCTGCTCTGTGATTGGTCGTGCAAGGTGAGGCTGTTGCAGGTGAAGGGGAGCGCGGATGTACTTGATGTTGTGGGCAAGAATAACCTGTCGTAAGAGTTGCCGGGAGACTAATGTGGGGAGTTGGAGATGATGAAGAAGTGAGCTGTGATGGACTGGTGCAAAAAGGGGGATCCGCAAGCAGATACGGGCGGCTCGTCGCTGAACGCGTTCTAATTGGTCCTTCTGTGTGCGGGTGGTGTTGGATAACACGAGCCTGCCGTACTCTATAACCGGGCGAATGTAGGCGGTGTAGATTACGAGCAGACTGGGGGTGTTAAGTTGGCCTTGTTTTACGAAGTTGGTGAAGGAGTTTTTTGGATTTGTTTATTATGTGCGTGACATGTGAGTTCCATTGGAGGTTGTTTTGTAGTATGACTCCAAGGCGACGGTGTTCGTTGACTTGCTTTAGGGGTGTGCCGTTAAGATTGATGTTGAGTTGGTGATTTGGTGTGAACGACAAGGTAACGGTCTTCGAGGCATTGACGAGGAGGTGCCATCTGCGCAGCCAGGTTGCGGCAGCTGAAACGGCTGACTGCAGGGATAACTCCGATGTCAAACGGCTCTGGTGTGTTGCGATGAGCGCCGTGTCATCTGCAAATTGGCTGCACTTTGTGTTCGAGTTGGTGCAGGCAGAGGGCAGGTCAATGGTGTAGATCAAGAACAGCAGGGGGCCTAGAACGGATCCTTGGGGCACCCCTGCTGGTATGGCTTGCCACTCACTGAAGGCGTCGCCGACACGAACACGTTGACGGCGATGGGTGAGGTAGTTGACCATCCATTGCAGGGCGGTATCCTTCAGGCCGAGGTGTTGCAGTTTCTTGAGGAGACCGGCGTGCCAGACTCTGTCGAAAGCCTTCGAGAGATCAAAAAAGCAAGCTGTGACGGAAAGACCTTTATCTCGGCTCTCGGAAACCTCGTGCACGAGTCTGGCGAGCTAGCTGGAGTTCGGTGCTATCATTGGCACGAAAACCGGATTGATCCACTGGGAGGAAGGGTGTGACGTGCTTGTAGAGTCGCTTGTGGACGATCCTCTCCTGCACTTTACTGATAACGCTGAGAAGTGATATGGGTCTGTAGTTTGTTACCAATGACCGTTCGGCTTTCTTGTATAGTGGGCTCACAGTGGCATCACGTGGTTGTTCACCTCTCCGAAATGACTCATTGAAAAGTCGGGAGAGTGATGGCGACAGCTCGCGCGCCGTGGTCCTGAGGAGTCTTGTTGGGATGAGTTTGCGGACCCTGAACAAGACAAGCATGATACAAAATTGGCAACATTTGAGCCTACCTCTGAGTCACAAATGCTCACTATGGCTCGATTTCTCAGAGCTCAATTTGCCAGAACAGACACGTCATACAGTGCACTCAAGTGTAATAAACCATGCAGTAGAAATGCTCCAGGTTAGCAAAGTTGTGAAAGAAAAAAGGTAATCACCTACCATACCTGATTACCAGTGTACATGACTGTACAGTAAAACCTGTAACTAGCGACCACCCCTTGGGGCCAGCAAAAGCGGTCTTTAGTGGCAGGTGGTCTTTAGTTAGAGGTTTGCACCGCATAACCATATAATTATGAATGTGAGGCCGTCCGCGCCTGGCAAAGTGGTCTGTAGTACCAGGCTGGTCGCTAGTCATGGTGGTCTTTAGTTACAGGTTTTACTGTAGTACCAGGCTGGTCGCTAGTCACGGCGGTCTTTAGTTACAGGTTTTACTCTAGTTGGAAGCCACAAATCACCAATTATTGTATCAGTGACGACCAGTCTTGTGGCACCACACCTTGGGCATTGTGAAACGGAGAGTGCGGCGTGAGGCCTTCAATGGTCTGACAAATAATTGATGAGCTCTATTATAACATGCGAATGATTAGGACTATATGTAATGTGCGCTGAAACGAGACTCATGATACCGTCTGTATGCTGGTAAATTTGCGGCTAAGAGTGCAGCTGAACTGCAGAATAGTGTATCTCTTCAGCTATTATGTACATTTACGTGCAGTGATTGAGCACCTGTGAATGTAACTTATGTTCTAACAGCACTGTGCATCGATATTGCATAAACCACCTGTGATGCCAGTCTAATACAGTCCTGTACATGTCTCCAAGCAGGAAGTTCACGATATTGGTGGTGTCTATGACAAGAGCGTCGTGTTCCGCTCAGCCCCGTAACCTTGAATTCTTCAGTATGAATACGCATACGTCTTGCTGATGGGCACATCATGGAAGGCAGGCCACGGATTAGAAGCTCCCGCCGCTTCGATCCACCTCGATGTTCTGGTACTTGGCGACAATGTACCCCAGTCGACTGTTTGCCACTCGGCCCGTTTTCACGGCGCTCATGAGCTCTAAGAATTCGTCAAACTCGATATGGCTGTTCCTATTGGTGTCGACTTCGGCAATGAGCTCGCGCAACTGTGTATCACTGACACGAGTACCGATATCGGCGAGGACTTTACGAAGGTCAATGATGCTGATGTGTCCGTCTCCATCGGTGTCCACACTGTCAAATATACGTCTGTACCGGCTAGTCTCCTCCGTGCTCAGGTGCTGGAACTCGCGGCGGATGTCGCTGCGCGCCCCGTACCCGACACTGACCAGGAACGTGTGCGCGGCGTCGCGCTGCGCCTGTTTCTCCACCGCCGTCCACTTCAGCTCCTCGCCCATGATCTCCACGATGCGCGGCAGGGCCTCCTGCGCCGCCTGGACGTTGAGGAACGCGATGCGCAGGCGATTGGCGATCACGTCCGTCGCCGTCAGCGCCATCTCCTGGCGCACGGCGTAGCGCACCTCCGCCTCAATGTACGGAAACTCGCCGACCAGGCGTTTGCCGACCACCGGCCAGCGCAGTCCAGTGATAGTGGCCAGCTTGGCGACTTCCAGCGCGCGGTAGCCGTAGGACTGGCACAGGTGCTCGGACACCTCGCCGTCCAGACCGTAGTCCTGAGCCAGTTCGATGGAGAGCAGCGGTGTGTAGCCGTGTGCTCCGTGCAGCGGCATGCCGTCCGTCCGGCTGCCGCACTCCGGTCGCAGGTCGTTGCAGACGAGCAGGGCACGGTCCACCGCATCCTTGGCCATGGCGCGGTACGTGGTCCACTTGCCGCCGGCGATGGTGATCAGCTTGGAGTCGCTAACGTCGATGACGTGATTGCGTGACAGAGAGGCCGTGTTCTTGGACGAGGGGTCGGACACGAGCGGCCGCAGACCAGACCAGGCCGCCAACACATCGCCACGTCGCACACTGACGTCGGGACTCAGGTAGTTCTTGATCTCGTCCAGGATGAACTGAATGTCCTGCTCCGACGGCTGCGGTCGGTTTGTTATGGCCGTTGGCGAGTCGGTAGTGCCCGCGATGGTGCGTCCCTGCCAGGGCAGGAAGAAGATGACACGTCCGTCGCTCGTCGACGGATCCAGCAGACCGGTGGAGACAGGGCTGTAATAGGCCGGAAGGATGATATGAACGCCGGCGGATGGCTGGCAGATCGGAGCGCGCTCCTGGTCGTCCATGCGCCTCACGGCATCCGTAAACGGGCCCGTCGCGTTTACCACACACTTTGCGCGGACAGCAAACTCCTCGCCCGTCATCTTGTCCACCAGGTTTGCACCACACACGGTCTCCTGGCCATCTGCATCGCGTTCCTTGATCAATGATTTCACTTCCATGTAGTTGGACACTGTCGCTCCTTCGCAGGCTGCCGACAGGGCAATAGCTAAGCACATGCGCGAGTCATTGTGTAGTCCGTCATAGTACACAATAGCACCCACCAGCTTGTCTTTCTTCAGCATCTTGAATCTCTCCAGTGCTTTCTTCTTGCTCAGGTAGTGGCTGCGCTTCACACACTGTCTGCCAGCTACCAGGTCATACATTTTTATGCCCGCGTAGTAATATGGGACTAGCCACCATTTATACACGGGCAGCATGATGGGCAGGGGCGCGGACAGGTGCGGAGCAATGCGTAGCAGATTCGCTCGTTCGTGCAGCGCTTCCTTGACCAGTCCGTACTGCTCGCGGTCCAGTTTCATGATGGCTTTCTGCAGGTATCGCACCCCGCCGTGTATGAGCTTTGTGCTGCGCGACGAGGTGCCAGACGCGAAGTCCTCTCGCTCAACCAGCGCTGTTTTCAGGCCTCGCGACGCGCTGTCCAGAGCCACACCACACCCCGTGGCCCCGCCACCGATCACCAGCACATCCCACAGCTCGCCGCTCTTCAGTTTCTCTACTTCATTCAGCCGAGGTCTGGTCTTCCACGTCTTCGGGTCCTCACGCGCAGCCTTATTAGACTGGTTCGCGGCGTCCAATGCATGAGAGTTTCGCGGTGTGGGGAGCCAGCGGCCACGGTCCGTGGGCGAGAGAGCAGCGACAGCCGCAGCCGCAGCACCCGCGAAAGCACAAGTGGTGCGAACACCGAACATTGTTGCGAAGTTCTTCACCTTGGTTCAGTCCTCCTCGCGAAACGCCAATGAATAAATGGGAAAGAAGAAGCACCAAACCTGAGCAGGCTGAGGAGGCCCAGCGAAGACAAAAAGCTAAATGTCAGATGTAATGTATAATTATGACTGTAACTACTTTGAAAGATGTGAAGTAACCATGGTAACGGCGGTTTCTCTCCTGACTTGGCCTACTTCAAGTACTTACTACTTGTACTAGTGTGGCACCCCCCCCCCCCCCGCCGTGCCAGGATTTTCACGGCCTCCATGGTACACAAAAATAATAATTAGTATTTTTGTTCACAAGGCAACATTATGATTGTGGTAAATGGAATCCAACTTCAAGTACATGTACAAGGTGTAGTTCTACATGAATGGGATCCACAAAGACAGCATACTACTACTATTACTACTAGTACTAATACTAGGCTATGGCCTAAGCCCAGCCTAAGCCTAAGGAGTAAGGTCCGGACTGCGCAGACCGAACACTACCAACACCAGTTACCATGGTTACCTGGTTACTGGTTACAGGTGGTGTCCTGTCAGGTAGGCGGGTGACATTTCGTCGCGAGCCATCTCGAGGTGGTCAATTCATCGAGTGACAATTCCTTTCAGTTGCATCTTCGTTTCTGCTCTGTTTTGCTTTCTCTTTCCGTTCGTTCCTCTTGATATTAAATTGTACTTCGTACTGTGTCAGTGTTGAGGCAACGAACTGAAATAATAGAAACCAACCAATCCAAACTAAGACTGTGCAGTTTCATGATGAAGGGTGGTAACCATGGTAACCAGCCACTCCTAGCTAAAATAATAATTATTAATTACTTTTTTAATGAGATGGAAACTTGGGAGAGAAGATGAAAGGTGACAAGATCAGTGAGTTAGACGTGGAGAGCATCTCCAACTCCCCACTTTGACATCCGGGCAGCTAGTAGTACGGCAGGTGACCATGGTGACCCTCGCTCACATAATCAAACACCACTGTGCTGAGTGTGCCCCAAGCCGCCCCCAACTCCCGTTCAACAGCCCTACACTTAATTAAAAAAGTACATTTCCAACCCAATCACGAAACATCCCTACACATTCTGACACCCTCGGATCTGTGCGCTGCGAACACCTCCAACAAACCGATACAAAATTTCCCCAATTACATGTAACTCGGTTCTTAGCAACTCACTTTACTAACTGTTAACTGCAGCTTGTGCATATACATGTATGTACATATACAGGTATACATTTTTATTTTATTTTTTTACGGGGTAACGGCCTCTTTTACGGGCAAAATAAAGTCATGTAGACGTGAAAAAAGTACAGGTATGCATTGTACATGATTGTACAGGTATACATTGTACCAAGAGTCCATTATGGACTCTTGATTGTACATGTACAGGCATACATTGTACATGTACAATGTATGCCTGTACATGTACAGGTTGTTGTTGTTGTTGAATTTTATTTAATTAAGTTAAAGAACTTAGTAACTGTTAGTTGCAACGCAAACAGGCGGTACGCGGTGGCGCCTCCTTTTATGCATGTGAGCGACATGACACATTTGACAATAGTTATAGTATAAATGGGGAATGGAGGAGGAAAAACTCACAAGTGAAAGAAGTCACCGAACTTAACTGAATACAGTGTGGTACAGATAGAGCCGCGGGAAAACGAACCCTGTTGTCAGTGTTGAAAAACCGAGGTCTTCCAAATCATTAACTGGTTTGAGGGAAAGAGGCAAACGGGAAAAGTCTGGAGAAAAAATTGACTGTCACCACCAGGACTCGAACCAGGGACCCTCGCTTGTAGCCAGCGATGCTCTAACCACTGAGCTATGGTGTAGTCGTCATCCCAGCAGAGGCCGTTCAACATTTTCTTCCAAATCAGTTCGCATTACTGTTTCTAGTTGTTCTTCCCAGTTGACTTTGTCTTATTTTCTATGTTTTCTGAGCCGACACCCATCTCTTGATGTACCCTTTCTTCCACATTGCCAGCATGCCACTGATCGTGGAATAATAATAGTAAAGGTCGCGCAGAGCAATCTGGACCAGGTTTGGCGGACAGCGCACATACTCAGCCACAGCTAAGACTAAGAGCTGACAGTGCTGTTGAACTAACTAACTAACTTGCACAGTCATTCCCTAAGGGCAATAGGGCTTGAAAGTGCTACGTCACAGCATAGCAGCAATATCAAAAATTCAAAAAATGGATCCACTTGGATCCAGTTGTTGTATGGATCCAAGCACATTTCAAGCCGTCTTACTCACAGCAAGGTGATGTAACCAGTGAAACTGACTGATTTGGTTACTGGGGGCGGGGTTACAACTGGTGGCGAAGTAAAAGTCACCCCTGCATACGACATGAGTGGGTTGCTATGCACCCATAGCAAAGTCACACCTTAGTGGATCCAAAATAGAAATCTGATGTCAACTTAGTACTCCCTGGCCGTTTTTGACGTCATCACTTTCAAGCCCTAGGCCTAGGCTACGGTTGTCCCTTGATCTTCTAGCCAAGCAAATTACTGTAAAACCGGGAGTTTTCGGTGGTGCAATACTTCCCGTATTTCCCAGAATCAACGGTTCGCACAGTTTTCCAGATCCAAAACTGCATTTTAAGTTTGCAAACTGTGTGTCACAAGCTTGTTAGGTCGCGTTCTATATTAGGTGAAAATTACCTGTACCGAAGTTGCCAAAAATATATGTCACCACCGAATTGTCTGGTTTAATAAACAGTACCTTTTCTAAGGGCATTACAGTCATAGTCGTTGTTCGCCACTTGGCACATGTCCAAAAACGTGTCGTAGTTCCAATACTTGATTTCTTTCTTGGCAAAGGGAAAAAGAAAATATAATGAGGAATATAGAGGGGAATTTGCGGTGAAGACGTCCAGGCCAAAAAGCAACGCATGAAAATATGATAAGCAGTTTAGGTTCCATCCTTCTCAGCATAGATACGCGTTTACAGTGCATAACGCACGGGCGGGAAAAAAATAGAACTGAAAGCTGTCAACGAAACAACAGAGGAACTTCACAGAATGGGTACCTATAATGTTAGCCATAGAGATATCTGGCCAAGACCTCCTCCACGAGGATGTTTCTAACAGAGGAGAGTGAGAAGAAATTGAAAAAAACTAGAACGCTGAATGATCACAGACCCACATCCCTCACAACGGAGGAGTTATAGTACATGTACTTCGAAATGTTTTATATTCTTTTGTTTGTCAGATGAGAGCATTTGCTGGGCAAACATGGCTAAGCGCTGCCATTGCTGCTGCCGTAATGCACTGCGGCTGGTATGACTCCGCCACTCCGCTTGTCCTTCTGTCGACGATTGCAAAACCACACGCGGACCACCTCCTTGTCGTGACTGACTGCGCGTGCATACTCTGTAATCTCCGGCGCCGTCGGCTTCTTGTTCTTCTGGAAGAACTGCTCCAAATGGCGGCGTGCCTCCGGAGCAATGGACGTTCGTTTCTTGCGCTGCTTACCGGTTATCTTACTGTTCGGTGGCAGTGTCTGTTTCGTGTTGCTGTCCACGTCTTCAGACCAGCGCTTGAGGATGGCATAGAGCTTACACATGTTTTTATGACTGAGCTGTTGCGCTTCGAAGCGGCAAATAGTCGTTTGCGAAAAGTTCTGGTGGTACATGAGGCCGAGATCTCGGCCTACTTCGTGCTGCGTAAATCCCTTGCGGATGCGCTTCAGCTTCAACTGCTTGGCAAATGCCCTTAAGTGATCGGCGGACGGTGTCGGCTTCTCGTCTCCATAACTGCCGCTGGAAGATGCTCCGGTGGGAATGGACGGAAATTCCAACGGGTTCTCCTGCTGCCCTCCGTCTGATGGTGATATCGGTGAGGTCAACGCCGGCGGTGAATTCCAATGCACTCCCCGTGTGGATACCGTTGTGGTGTACGATCCGTGGTTCCCCTGTACTGACAGGCTGGCGGGGAAGGCAATATCCTTCCTTGGAGCTTGCAGTGCGTGCTGCGTCGGCTGCAGGTACGGACTCATCGTTGGATGCATCGGTTGTTGTGGCGCACTCAGCGGAGTAGAGTTCAGTGGGCTGGCGTACGGCGTCTTATACATACTCGTCATGAACTGTGCCGGCGGTCCGCTCTGGATTGTCGCCGGGTAGGTGGCTGCACCCATTGCCTGTGCCATTGGCGCCGATCGGGTCGTAGCATTGGCAAGAAGATGGCTGCCAGAATGGCTCCCAGAATACACAGGTCCTGGTCCGACGAGGTGATTAGCACCGGGAGAGTTACAACCACCCACCCCACCGGGTAGGAGGACGTTGGTCGGCGAGGACACTCCGTACGACGGCACATACTCCCCACCTCCCGAATGGAATGCTGTGCTGGTGTGTGCCAGGTTCACCAACGCACTGGCACCCATCGGAGAGTCAGCCGGATGAGGGTGGTGAGCACCATGTCCGTTAGTCATGTTTGATTGCTGTTGGTGTTGGTGTGGCTGTTGCTGCTGTTGCTGTGGAGTGCAGTGCAGGGGACTATGTAGCATGTCGCTCTCACTCGCTATCAATGTCGCTTTCTCCTCCTCACAACCTTGAAGACTGCTGGAGAATTCTTCTTCTTTGCTGTTCAGCAGGTCGCTCAACCACGGGTTGAAGTCTGTCGCGTCGAAACACTCCGCGGAATGTCCGATCAGCACCCCGTGCAGTAGCTCTTCAGTCCACTCTGCTGGGGACCTTTCCTGCTTGATTCGACGCTGACAATCCGTGCGTGTCAAGGGGTCCCTTCTTGATCCAAGTACCACGTCACCGCGAGGACCAGAAGGAAGTCGACACGGGTGTTCTGCAAGCGGCCTCTCCGAAGCACAAGTATCGACTGATGAGGGTGTCATTAGTCCCGAGCCCTTTATTACGTCCTCCAGGTCATTGCTGCTGTCGTACTCGTACGTGCAGCCGCTGCTGCTGCTGCTGCTGCGGCTCCAGGGACTGCTGCGTCCGCTGCTGCTGCAGCTAGCGGTCCAGCTGCTATCGCTGGGGACACCCTTGATGTCTTGGCTAACACTGCCATCACTAGCATCATCATCATACGCAACTGCCGCACTTAGCTCGAGCGGACTAAGCATTGCCAGTGGAGTAAGACTAAGACTAAGAGCAGGGTGTAGCTGCTGTACCTCGGTCATAGCGTAGAGTTGATGCGAGCACTACTGCACGCGGACAGTGACACTGGCTGGGTGCACCCCTTTTCAGACTTCGCTCTCGCGCCAAGAAGTATGCCTACACAGATCCTGCATTGCCGACAATCCGAGAGTAAAAATCATCGAAGGAGAAGACAAAGTAGACGGCGAAGAACTACACAAGCCTCCTTCTCACCAAGGTGGTTTTGTTCGTTGGCATTGTTGTGACAGTACGCGACCGCTTTGCTTGTGGGAGCTGACACTAGTTCGAGCCAGCGCTCCTGTCTCAGCTAGCTACACGCGGGCATTTTTCTCGTTTGTTTTTCTCTAGCAGTTGCTGTGCTGTTCCCGCTACGCGATACGCGAAGATCTAGGACTAGTAGGAGCTCTCTCACAAGTCAAACTGTGGTCAGTCGGGCCACGGTCCGGTGCACGATTCAACTGTCGAAATATGCCAACACACACACACACGTACACACACGCACACATACAACTCGGCTTCGTACCGTGCAACTGGAAGCCGAACACTGCATTGTAGTCACCCATTGGCTCTTTGGCAGTTGTGTTGTATGATTGCAAGCAAGCACTGAAGCAGGTGCACACGCAGTCGTTGTTCGTCGACTCCGAACGGATGCCAGTGAACTTTTACCGACGCGGCTGCAGTTTTCGTTTTCGCTGAAAAGAAATGAAGAGAAACGCGATGGTCGCCGTGGCTCAACTGTGCAGTAGGCTCAGGTAACATACATGGATGCATCGGCGACTCTACTTTAGCCTCCGCTCCAGGCAGTGCCGACAAGGCCAAGGCCAGGACGCTCGAACAATGCTGCATGCTGCTGAGCTCTGTCAAGAGCTGGAAAAGATCTCTCAGGTCCCTGGCGAAATTAACACCCTGGAATAAACACCGGACACAACTACTGACTATTGTGACAGCCATTGTCAATTTCAGAAAAGCGCGAAGTCTGGTCAAAAGCGCGCCCATGAACAGTCAGAAGGCCATAAGATGGCAGAATGCGCATGACTATGATGACAGGAGTCAGTGCTCTATCTAGTGGAGAGGAATCACGTCTAGATCTACGTGTACGTGTATATGCTGCACAACGACATTATGTATTGTTATTAATGTTGTTATTAATGTACATGCATAACACGTGACATGAAGATTGAAGGACAGAATACTGAAAATAAAATAAAATTCAATAGTAACGTAACGGTTACTGGTGACTTATAATAATTATATTGCAGGGTTCATATTGTGGCACGCTTTGTCGAGTAGATCTGTCTTGTACACTAGTAGTATTTTGTGAAGAGGTTACCTTTCGCCAGCAGTAGAGAAGGCTCAACACCTCAACTACAGACAGTGGGGCACCATTACTGTTACACACGAAAGGCACAAAGGAAGTACTCACTGAACAGTCATGTACACTGTAGATCTACATGTACATGATGTACTTCTTTACAGTTACAGACAACTTCGCTAATAACGACTGCGGATATAACGACAATTCGCTAATAACGACTGCGGATATAACGACAACTCGCGAATAACGACAGAATTTCCATGCCCAGAGCAAAGTCCCATCCCACTGTAATACATTATAATGAGACTTCGGGTATAACGACACTTCGCGAATAAGGACACCTTTTTGATGCCCCGCCGAGTGTCGTTATAAGCGAAGTTGACTGTACATGCAGTCGCAACTTAGACTAGTTAGAGTTTCTTGCTTGGCAACACACTCTGAACAAATCGTCTTCGTGGAAGACGTGCATTTTGTGTGTACATGTGCCTGACATGTATACAATGTACGTCATGTACATGTACAATCATAATGATAATTATAATCCAAAACTGGTAAACCAGTAGTAGATAAACCTTGTTGTAGTTCATGCAATTGTTGGATGGAGTGTCCTCCTCCTTGTTTCATGCTGTCAATCTAACAATTGCATGTACAATCATGTATGTCGGTTATTGCGACGTTCTCAGGGCTCTTGTTCAGCAATGCTAATAGTAATTCAGTCATGTACATGATGTATATGTACTATTAAATTTAGCTAGGAGACTACAAATTCTCGATATGACGAATACATGCAGTAGAGATACTGAGCACGCGAACTACTGAACATCACAAAAGATGTAATCACAACAGAACACATAATTACGAAGCAATTTGTTAGTTTTTCAGGGTGACAAGAAGTCAGTCTACAAGTAATGACGTGTCTGTTGTGATTACATCAGATTCTTTTAGTTTGTTGATAATTATGTCTTCCTCCAACCAACATATTAATTATTTGTACAAAGTCATGTACCTGTCAAGAGAATGACCGCGTGGTTTTTTTTTGTCTGCCGAGTCTATTTACATGATTGCAGGGATTTCAATAATGCTCCCAATGCGTTCGTGTGTACTGCACAGCCAAAATTGGCAACAGGCAGACCTTTTGAAGGGAATTGTTGTGAAGATGAGGTAAGAACCAGCAAGATGCATGTACAGGACTGTAAACATTCTATTATGATCTAGCAGGGTTTACTATTACTAGGGGCAGAGCGGAAATGGACACTCAAGAGCATCCACACGGCCACCGTATATTACCACAAGTCAGTTATTTACATTTGTACATGCAGGTATGCCGGGCATAAAAAGCTGATCATGACGGCTACAAAGACATGTACCGGTAGTGCTGACCAAGGGCAAGGAGAAGTGAAACACAATGGGTATTTTCTACTCCCTAGTGCTGACTACTAACACTCTGTGACACTGGCCATCGTTTGTGCAAGGCTGTTTAGTGTTTAGTGTCGTGTAGTGTAGCGTAGATTGCGCCCTTTTCTGTTAAAAGCTGCGCAATGGCATTCTGTTTAGCACCTCCTAGGTCTGTGTTTCCTAACTCTCACCGGATTGTCCTCGCTGTCATTATCAGTATGCCAGTATTGCCATTGGATCGTGTGAGGCGTGCAATCATGTACCTTGTAGATACAAGCTGCATGAAAATGTCGTTCAGCTCCCCATCATTCCTGCATGATTAGCACAGGTCACAAAGCCTTGGAGTTCCACACAGCACCGTGCCTGTGCTTAGCGACATGTACATAATTATTATGTACAATGTCATGTACATGTAGCTTCGTACATGTAAGACTAGTCAGGCTGACCGGAACCTTGCCGGATGTGCATCGCCGGAGCATTTTCATCAACAACAAAACATTACTATTTTGTGCTGTGTACATATCAAACTATGTTCGTGTCTAAATAATCGACGTGGAGACAACAATTTAAAAAAAGAAATAGAAGAAGAGATTCTGCTGTCATCACAGCACAGCAAAGAAGTAATGAAGGTTTCTAAAATCGATTTTCATTTCACATTCATCAGTGGAATTATCGTGACTGAGGGTATTAATACATGCATGCTCGTGTCGTGAGTTGATGGTGCCATCCATCTACATCTACGTCAGTACGTGTACATTGTGGTTCTGGCCTTGGCACGCAGGGTAAAGGTATTTCGTTTGGAGACTGCATGCATGATGAAGGCGTCAACCTTGCAAGTACACTATGTTAGCAATATTGAGCATAACACCTATCCTTGAGTGGTATCAAATCGTGTGCAATACATCTCATCAAACTTCAAAGGCAGCAATCGAGAAGGGCCGTTTCGACCGTTTTAGTTGCTCGTTTTCGTTTCTCGCCACGTACAGGGTGTTTTAAAGGTTTGTTGATTCAAGGACTAGGTACAGTGTACAGTGTGTACTGCACTGTGTACTGCACTTGCAGTGACTACACGTAATGGTAGCATACAATAAAATAATAATCATAAAATAATAATAATAATAAATCTTTATGTCAGGATTACCCAAAGGCTAACGCCAGCATGTAGCATTAGTTAGTTCTGGCACGCAGTGCTGCGGTGTGTGACCTACGAGGACAAGGGATTCCGTGAGCAGCTTCCGGAGCACGACGGATAATTATCGGTAAACAGCATTCGATATTCCCGGACTCATAGGCGCACAATGCGTGCGTCACCCGTACTACTGGTGACCACTCGGGCAGACCCATTGTGCCCTCAAAGTAGTTGTACGCGAGCACACAAAGTGAGTGGATCATTCTCTTTGGAAACCTACTTCAGGGAAACATTTTAGCAGCGCGTGCAGCCATCCGAGCCGATGACGGTAAATCGTCAGTGAGCCGTGAAGTAACAATACTTTGAACGGAAGCGCCAGGAGCGATTCGAAAAAGACAGGAACGACGGTTGAAATCAGCACCCTTCCAAACGGTTCTCGTCGTCCTGCATCACAGCTGAGATTGTGCAGATTGATCTCCCAGGCTAGTAATACTAGTTACAGTACATTGCACAGTAAAACCTGCAACTAAAGACCACCGTGACTAGCGACCAGCCTGGTACTACAGTAAAACCTGCAACTAAAGACCACCGTGACTAGCGACCAGCCTGGTACTACAGACCACTTCGCCAGGCACGGACGATCTCACATTCATAATGGTTGTGCGGTGCAAACCTCTAACTAAGGACCACCTGTCACTAAAGACCGCTTTCTCTGGCCCCAAAGGGTGGTCGTTAGTCACAGGTTTTACTGTACTTCAGTCTTCACAGTCTTCACAGTGCTTCTGCTGGATGAAATCCGATCGCGTGGTCAAGCTTTGCGCCCTGCACCAGTTTACCTCCTAGTGTTCGCAGGTCTAGGGTAGGGCTGCACAGCACCCGTCGTGGCATTGAGTTGCTCGATCGGATTTCATTGAGTAAGTAAAGTAAAAGTAAATTATCGTATCCGTTCCCGAAGGGAGTAGCACTGTATAATCAGCTTCTTCTTCATGACATAAGCTGTTGACGGAGACTCCCTCGATTTAGGCTAAGGCCTGTGGAGAATCCATAAATACAAACACAATTCTGCATACTGTACAATGCTGCATACCTTGCGACCGACTTTGACGGTTTGTAGAATACTAGATTAATTAACAAGAGACTGAGAGTGATCCGTACTATTGCTTGCTGTCACTTCGCCTAAGTGTGGTTATTGGTGACGAGAAGCAGCGATTAATCTTCAAGTACATTTGTACATGTACATGTACATGACATGTACATGTACATGTATGTCCTCAAATTGTTTATGCATGGTGGTATGCGACGTTACGGTAGCAGATAAAGTGCGATGCACACTGCAGTGTGCAAGAACATGTACAAGTATCTACCTCCAAACTTTGTTTTGGTTGTTTGTTTAGTTTTGTAACAAGAAACTTTTTAGTTTTGATTGTAAAGAAAAGAAGAGGTTGGTGCGACTTCGGAAATAAAGAGAAGGACCAAGGAGCTATACGTCAC